AACATACCTTTGGAAAAATCAGAACAAAACATGCCTTCAGGCACTGGTGTACATATAACAGCATCTGCACATACAAAAATAAAAGAAATACACACTGAATACACGGCTAGTTACTAGCGGAGTTTACAGCTAGCCACGCTAGACTCAGAGTGTATGAAATCGTGGTCATAATGAAAGCATTAATAAACTTTCTCTAAGTTGCTGAAATTGCACCTGAATCTTAACAATACATGTAAAATAATATAACACAGATCATATGTCGAAGTTTTCAACTTTAAACGGCATTTTACAGTTATATCATTAAAACAAAGTGAGAGTGCTTTATACAGTGAACCTACCCGATGTAAAGCATCCCGCTTCTGATCGGGTATGGCAACAACACAAGGACAAAACGCAGCAGAGCTGCAGTACACCGTTTCTCCAAAGGAGGGCTCCAAAACACCAAACTCAATACAGCTGCTTAATTATGGTGAAAATCACATACAAACACTAACTGACATTTCTAACTCTGTTACACAGGTTGGATTCGGATTGGTGTTTATTCTTGCACTTGGATTGTCTGAAGCACAATGGAGGGCAAGAGCAGCACATAATCGGAGTCCAAGCGAGTTTAGGCCTAGAACATTAGCTCAAGCTTCTCAACAGGCTGATTCCAGGATGTCTTTGGTTCCCAGTAACACTGCATTTGCACCACAAAGTTTTCCCGCTCAGTTTCCTGTCCAGACACCAGTCAGGACTGACTTTGGAAAGTCTTCTCAAGATCTTATGGGTGTTCAATTAAAAGAGCTGTTGCAGGGTCCAGTGGCGACACTGACGTGGAGTTTTCCAAGTCTACCAGAGGAACCGCAGCAGCCAGACGTTCCTTTTGAGTTGCCTTATCCTGTCCCTGCCAACAGTGTAGCTGCTCAGTGTGGAGAGAATTCAGTATATGTGGAAGTGATGAAGGACTTCTTTGGGACTGGGCACCCACTGTTGTCCTCTGGTTTTACACTGGGAGGCTGTACTGCAACTGGAGAGGATTCTTCTGCTCAAGTGCTGATCTTTGAGTCTGAACTGCATGGATGTAGCGGTACATCAATGGTAAGGTTCTGTTGTGACAATCATAGGTATTCTGAATTGTCCATGTGACTGTTCTTCTATTAACCTTTCTGTTTAGGTGATTGAGGATGAGCTTGTCTATAGGTTCAACATTATGTACACCCCACAAGAGGCTTCATATGGTGTTCCTATTGTCAGGAGCAGTGGTGCGGTGGTTGGTATCGAGTGTCATTATCCAAGGTGAGGATTCAATTAATTCAGGCTCACCCAATGTTCTAATCCTGCCGTTTATGGGCAAGAGATGACCGCTTGTTTAACTCCTACAGAACACATAATGTGAGCAGCGATGCCTTAATGCCCACTTGGATCCCATATGCCTCAACTGAGGTTGCAGAGGACGTCTTTGTCTTCTCCCTCAAGCTCATGACTGGTTGGTGTAGCCCATACAGATTTGTAGAATGCTTGTGAATCATCTGTTAAGATAATTATTTTACTTTTTTTTTTTCAGATGACTGGAGATTTGAGAGACCTTCTAACCAGTACTTCCTGGGTGACATGATAAATCTTGAAGCGTCAGTGCGTTTGTACAGCCATGTTCCCATCCGTGTGTTTGTGGACAGCTGCGTGGCTACTGCAGTCCCTGATGTTGCTTCTGTCCCCAGATACTCCTTTATTGAGAATAATGGGTAAGAGGTGCTACCTCATGTATCCCAGCTTCCATAAGGGTTGTGTGATTTCTAACTGGGTTCTGTTCACAGGTGCCTGGTTGATGCCAAGCTCACAGGCTCCACGTCTCACTTTATGCCCCGGACTCAAGGTGATAAGCTAGGGTTTCAGCTAGAGGCGTTCAGGTTCCAGCAAGCAGACAGTGGGCTGGTATGCATGTCCTGTAGTTGTGCAACTCTTTGTATGATATGCTGCCATGGTGTACAAACCATTGTCTCTGCAGGTCTACATCACATGCATTTTGAAGGTGGCTGCAGCAACCTCTCCAAGTTCTGAACAGAAAGCTTGTTCATTCTCTGCTAATGGGTATGTTGCCCGCTAAATAAGTGTACAGGTGAATTGGTTGCGTTAACTTATTTGAGGGTTTGTTTTGTCAGGTGGGTGTCTGCAGATGATTCTGACCAGGTGTGTGGCTGCTGTGACACAACGTGTAGCATCAGAAGTGGAAGTGATCAACTGCTTACAGGTTTGGACTAACTCTGATAAGTTGTTATTGTCATACATGGCTTTAGTTCTCACTAATCATTTGTTCCTCAGATCTACGCTGGGAAAGAGCATCTGTCGGCCCCATCAATGTTAAAGAATATGGCTATGGCCAAAAATAACTGGAAATGTCATGTGATTTTTTAATAAATGTTGTTAAAATATTTGGGTTTTTTGTTCTCTTTACTTGCAGTTTACATGGTTTCTGTTCAGACATGTACCACAAAAAGCCTTATTTCTACTGGCCTAGATGGGGGACATCTTATTTCTACTGGCCTAGGGGGGGACATTTTTGCTCAAGTCATTTGTTGGGCTAGGCCTATTACAACACAAAAAGGCGGAAGTACCTGGATTTTGGCGTGTTCGCACCGCAGGAACTAGGAACGATTTTAGTTCTAGGAACTAATTTAGCTCCTCCTTCAGAGTAGGGTCTAAACCAGCAATATAGGAACTATCTGTGACGTAAGTGTACGCTGATTGGCCGAACGCACTATTATGCATTATTATAAAGGCTGTGTAAACACACAGATTATAGCCATTTATTTCAGAAACTCTACAAACATAGAAAACAGTGATAGATGGGCCTCTTAACCTTCACGCTGAGGGGAAAATCCAACGCAACTGAGGGGACCAAGCAAAACATGATTATGTATTTCTGCTCAGCTAGCAACACTGGACATGTGTACACTTTTTATTTATTTTTTTATTTACGTATAACAGTTCTTTCTAATAATGTATGAGACAGGGCTGTTAGACAAACCGTAAACTAATGAACATGGAGCATGCGAGCACTGTGTGCTTAGGCTCTGGCGTTGTCAAAATAAGTCACATAAGCGTGGCTTACGTCACTTCAGAGTTCCTACTGGCGGTGCAAATGCAACCAGGAAAACGTTCCTATGGGAACCATTCGTCCGTGTAGAACTACGCGGTGCGAAATCTCCCAGATTTGATGAAACTTCAGCTGTGTGTTAGCTGTAGGAAGCTGATGACATGGATGTGACTATTGTGAGTCAGTTATAGAGCCACCAAATGGCAGATGGAAGCATGTCACTTTCGTAAAGCAGACGTAAACCTGTGAAAGGATTCTTGAATACTGTTGTTATGGCAACGCATCAAACTTTTTATATTTCTTTTGGGTATTTCTGAGACTCTTAGCATGCTTCAAATTGCATGAAACTCGACACGCACACATCAGAGTTGTAAGCCAGTAGACATGGGCAAAGCCTTAAAAATGGGCGTGTAGGAGCGGCTAAGTAGCGTCACAAACTTCCCTGCCACAAAGTGGGTGGTTAGTTTTACCTACAGTCAACAAACTTGGTACATTACTGTATATTATTCTCATCGAGCCGGGCGACTTTCTAATTTACAGTCACCAACAGGAAGTTAGATATTTTTGTTTGAATGTGGATTTTTGGAATCAAGCTCTGAATTTTTAACTACTGCTCCAAGGAGCCTCATACGATTCACACCAAACTTTCTCAACATGATGCCAATATATTGAAGAGGCTACATTTCAAATGGGTCTCTTGAACGGAGTTGATGAAATAAAATAATGACAAAAAGGGAAACAGGAAGAGTCTCATATCTTCTAAATAACAAATTATACACCATTTATTTCTATATAAAATAATACAAATAAGAAGTAAAAATCACATTTTATTATTTTTCATAAAATGCATTTGTGCTATCTGGTTGAAATAAATAAAATAAAATGTAATACATAGTATAACCACTAGTGTGCAGCATAGGCCTATATTTAAACAGGGTTGAAAAAGCCTTGTTGCTGAGAATTTTTCAGACATAATTATCAAAAATGTTGAATTTTCTGGCTCAACTAACTGGTAAACAGTCTCTAACTCTTGAGAATCTTCCCCAAAGAGATGCTGAACAGGAGTCCTCAGAGCATTTTGACTGAGCTTTATCCCTGAGACTCCAAACATTATTCTTACTTCCTTCCTTGTTCATTCACTTTGTCTTTCAATCAGCTGTGACTCTGTCTGATTTGAATCAAATCATCAAACCTTGACCTGGTGTAAATACATTTTGGTACTTATAGATTGTTACTCAGTCTCTCTGCTCAAATCTATCAAATAGATTTTACTCTATCTCTCTGCTCAAATCTAGTACACCAAGTCTACACTGATGGATTACAAAGTTGTTTTCATTGCTGTTCTTGGTATTTATTTCTTTTATTAAAGCAAACATGTTATGAATATCGTTGCTGCCCTGCAGTGTGGACGTTTTTTTGTGAGTTGCTCAGTGTGTTAAATTGTGTATATTGTCTTTTTTTTTTTTTTTTGCCTAACCATGTAACTTGCTAAGTTGGTAAAAGGTACAGGATTGTTTTTAAACGCAATTTAGCATTAAATTCCCCCCGATTTAGCATAAACTGAGCTTTGTTCTTTCTTCTGTATGTTCCCAATCCTAAAACTTACCTACCCCGTATATCAGTAATTGTCTCTCTGCACAGTTTGTATTACATTATGACAATTAAACAAAACTATTTATAAAGGTCACATTTTGTGTAAAGTGTATGAGAATATCCTATGCAGACAATACACAGTTACACACTTTAAAATGTTTAAACAGCACAGGGAATCAGAGCCTTCATAAAACCATCATCAATTATCTTTTAACAGCCAGTTAGTTTCCCAGGTGAACAATGTTTCATCTAATTAGTTATTTGCCCTAATTGGACTGATGAAGGCCTATAAAATACACTTATCTCCAGTTAGATATGTTTGCAATTGTAGTGTCTGTGTGGTGGTTTGAGAAAGTGAATGTTGGGGCATTGGAGTACTCAGGGTTTTTTGTTTGCCATGGATAAAGGGTGGACACAGTGAGTTTATTCAATCAATCTCGGTTTGTGAATGATTCAGCAAATAATTCATTTTCTTTATGTATTTTATATATTTACTTTTAGGTTACCCTTGTTTGTAATCTTCCTGCTCTTTTTGAGTAATACTCATGGATTTAAAGGTAAGATTAATGTTTTTGGTGTTTTTTTTTATATTTTCTCTCGTAAAGGATTTTAAATTGTGAGGTTTCTTTTTCTACAAGTCTTCTATTTTGTGTAATTCACAGGTGGGGCTCATTCAGATGCCCGCCACCGGTGGGGCCAAGCTTCAGACAGAACGTTCTCACCTCGTGCAGTCCAGTCTTCTGTGTCAGAGGTCCCTGTGACTGGGATTTTGCCTGAAGAAGTGGGCTCTAGTTTATTCGCTAACAGACCCCTGAAAAGGTTGAACTTACTCCAATTTGTTAAAGGTGGTGTTTCCAGCAGGCATGAATCAATGTCCCATGCCCAGACAGCTCCAAGCAGCTCTGTTTTAGCTTCCTTGCCTCTACCCTTAAATGAACGGCATGCAGGCCGTTTGACATCGCTCCAGGGTTCCTCTGGATCAGCCGCTACAGATACTACTAGTGTTTCTACACAAGGAGAAAGTAGCTTCCCTGCCACACTTGGCACTTCTGGCCTGTCCACCAGTGATGAAAGCTCCCCTAGTTTGTACATGTCCAGCTCCCTGGAAACCTCTGGTGCTAAATCAGCAGAAGCCACTTTGCCTGTGTTCTCTCAGGAGAGTATCTCTTACAGCAGTTCATCTGCTCCAGGTGCCACGTACACTTCTCAAGGTAGCCCAGTGCTGGCTTCAGAAGGCTCTGGTCAATCCATCTCCCCTCAGGGTGAAAGCAGTTACAGTGGCTCGCCTCAGTCTCAAGGTGCCTCGAGTCAATATAACCCAGGCTCCTATAACATGCTCAGTTCTTCATCTGTTTCTAGTCAGTCTACCAGTGACCAGAGTACCCCCGGTTTGTATAGTTCTAGCTTTCAGGGAAGTTCGGGCAGTTTGTTGGAAGCTTCTGGCTCTTCTTTTCAAGGGGAAGTGGCAGGGCTTAGCTCTCATGTTGACTTGTCTCCCCAATCACAAGACAACTCCAGTCAGCTTCTACCCTCACAAATGGAGGTCTCTAGCCAGTCTACTAATGGTCAAAGCACTCCCAGCTTGTTTATGCTTGGCTCTGAGAGCAGTTCAGATTCACAGTCAACAGGTCCTGCTTCACCTCTAGACACTCAGGGTAGTCTCTCTCAAAGCATTTCTAGCCAGTCCACAAGCGTTCAAAGTTCACCTAGTGTGTCTACAAGCACCCAGAGCAGGTCTGCCACTCAATTAACTTCCAGTAATTTTTTTCCTGTGCAGGGAGGTAGTAGTTCTACTTCTAGCTTCTATCTGAAGCCTCAGGGCACTCTGGGTCTGTATGCCCCTGCGTCCCGTACCAAATATGTGAGTTCCCCCATGTCATCACACCCAGCTGTTTATAGCCAGTCAAAAAGTAGCTCTGGTCCTTGGTTTGGGGGCTCTACTGGCTTTGCCTCCCATGGAATAAGTAGCACTTACAGTGGTTCTGTCCAGCCTCAAGGTACCACAAGTCAGTTTGCCTCTGGGTCTCCATCCTACTATCCAAGTGTATCACTATCCTCGCCACAAGGGGCCTCCAGTCAGTCTGCTACAGTCCAAAGTTCACGGAAGCAGATTGCCTCTAGCTATGGCACCCAGTCAGGGTCCTCTAAGCCATTCACTCTGCAGGGAAGCTCCACTTATGGTGGGTCACTCCAGCCTCAAGGTACCTCAAATCAGTTTGCCTCTGGGTCTCCATCCTCCTATCCAAGTGTATCACTATTCTCACCCCAAGGTGCCTCCAGTCAGTCTGCTACAGTCCAGAGTTCACGGAAGCAGATTGCCTCTAGCTATGGCACCCAGTCAGGGTCCTTTAAGCCATTCACTCTGCAGGGAAGCTCCACTTATGGTGGGTCACTCCAGCCTCAAGGTACCACAAGTCAGTTTGCCTCTGGGTCTCCATCCTACTATCCAAGTGTATCACTATTCTCACCCCAAGGTGCCTCCAGTCAGTCTGCTGCAGTACAGACTTCACAGAAGCAGTTTACCTCTACCTTCACAGTCAACTCTGGCACCCAGGAAGGACCCTCTGCTCCCTTCAAATGGCAGGGAAGCACCACCTATGGTGGATCACTCCAGCCTCAAGATACCACAAGTCAGTTCGCCTCTGGATCTCCATCCTACTATCCAAGTGTATCACTATCCTCGCCACAAGGGGCCTCCAGTCAGTCTGCTACAGTCCAGAGTTCACGGAAGCAGTTCACCTCTAGCTATGGCACCCAGTCAGGGTCCTCTAAGCCATTCACCCTGCAGGGAAGCACCACCTATGGTGGATCACTCCAGCCTCAAGATACCTCAAATCAGTTTGCCTCTGGGTCTCCATCATCCTATCCAAGTGTATCACTATTCTCACCCCAAGGTGCCTCCAGTCAGTCTGCTACAGTCCAGAGTTCACGGAAGCAGTTCACCTCTAGCTATGGCACCCAGTCAGGGTCCTCTAAGCCATTCACCCTGCAGGGAAGCACCACCTATGGTGGATCACTCCAGCCTCAAGATACCTCAAATCAGTTTGCCTCTGGGTCTCCATCCTCCTATCCAAGTGTATCACTATTCTCACCCCAAGGTGCCTCCAGTCAGTCTGCTACAGTCCAGAGTTCACGGAAGCAGTTCACCTCTAGCTATGGCACCCAGTCAGGGTCCTCTAAGCCATTCACCCTTCAGGGAAGCACCACCTATGGTGGATCACTCCAGCCTCAAGATACCACAAGTCAGTTTGCCTCTGGGTCTCCATCCTCCTATAATGGTCATTGTGTATCGTTGTCCTCGCCCCAAGGTGTTGCCGACCAGTCCAGCCAAGCATTTCAAAGCTTTTCTGGGTCCCAAAGCCAAAAGTCTCAAAGATGGCAGCCTTCACGAGGTATTCAGACCTCAGGTGCAGCTGCATCACAGGGCAGCTCTCTGTCTCAAAGCTCTCCAATGCAGAGTTTGTTTCCTTCCCTGTCATCAGCAGGAGGCTCATCTTCAGGAGATCCTGGACCGTTTGTTTCTGCACAGGGTGGTAGCAGCAGATATGGTGGCTTTTCTGTTCATTCTCAAAGCCCCTCTAGCAAGTACACCCCTGGGTCTCATGCATATGCCAAGCTTGCTTCCTCTCCCCTAGCTGTTTCTAGCCAGTCTACCAGTGATAAGCGGTCAAATGGCCTGTATAGCTCAGACTCTCTGCGAACCCTGGGTCTCATTGGTGTAGTTGAAAGACCCTCTAGACTCCCATCTCAAGCTCCTTCTGACTCTACAAGCAGTAACCAGATATCTGAGCATTTTGTGGCCATGCAACGCCCCACAGGTTCAAACCTAACTCCATCTCTAGGCTTGAGTGCCCAAGCATCATCTGTTGGCATGTTCTCTGGTATCCCACAGACTGCGCAGGCTCTACGTGAATCTGGGTCAGATGTCCAGCTATACAATCGACCATTCCTCAATCAGCTATACTCCGTAAAGGGCTAAGGGACTCTATAAAACAGCTACATTATGCAAAGAGATGTCTTCCAGAATATAAAATCTAATAAATGTTTGTAACAAAGGTTTTTTTCTTGTGCTGTTTTGTGTTTAAGCTACATTCAAAGGATAGAACCTCAAATTTGAATGTTTTTGCACTTATGCCAGATCTATTAATATTCATTGGTTTGTCCATTGATTCAAAGAATTTAATACATGGTTGATCAAATTTTAAGTTTATTGGGCAAGTGAAAAACCATTGCAAAAATGATCTACTGGCCAGAGATTCAAATCAATAACTTTACTGAACTTAACCTGAGGTTAAAAACTGAAGATAAAAATAGCTTCTAGACTAAAAGATTTGTTATAAACTGAAGTCTGTGTAGTAGTTGGTGGGGCTACAGGGTTTAAGTGGGAGAAACCAATGTGCCAAAGTTCACCACTTAACATCCCATCTTACAGCTGAAGATTCCCAGCGAGAGGAAAATGTCAGGACAAAAACAATAAAATCCTGCCCTCTTTGTCTGGTCCATAACATGTTTGGTCCATTGTACTTAAGAAATTCAATGTTTGATATACCATGCCGATAGAAATGGACAACATGTTCTCATGAGTATTCGTATGTATTTTGCCACACGTACATTTACTTGTGTTCCCATAGACACTGAAACCTACAATATTGACGTATTGACAGGACTATAACATCAATTATTTACGTATGAACAACTTTACAGACTTACAAATGTGTATAAAATCCTTATTTATGAACATTAAAATTGTGGCAATATCTCGATTCTATTGTATTCAATTGTCATATCAATGACATTATGTTTTCAGTCACATTTATGAGAAACTGTTTACTCATCCACTTAATTTGGGGTCATTAACCTGCTCAAAAACACTTTGCACACGTTGAAATTGTCGGCCATCAGGGTCACTGATGACACAAGTGACCACACAAGATGACATGGTGGGGTCATGGGTTGTATTTGAGGGGCTCTGTAGCACACCCCTTTTTACCTAAAGTAGCCAAACTTCATACACTTATTGATCTCATTGGGCCAAACAAATTTTCGATCAGATTTTCAATATCCCGAACGGTTTGGCTGTGGCAAGGCAACAAATTTATGGCAAAAAAAAAGGAAACAGGAAGTGTGTTATAACTTCTGCATACATTGTGTCACCGAGGCTCACCCCAATCGACCTGATGGTGGTGCTACAATGATCAAAAGTACATAATGGGTCATAAATCCTAAACCATTTGTCACAGGCTCAAGTGTCTTATATCATTGGAATCCTTGACAGAAAGCATGTCTTGGAATGATGTCATACTGGTAAAATTCAGGGGAATGTTTTCAAGAAACCTGTATACTTTTGTGAGCTAAACCTAGGTTTTTTGCCCGATCGGAACCAAACACATGCAAAAAGATTCTCTAGAGTCTGGTTGTCCATTATCAAGCCAATTTCCATTCACATTTGCAACAGGGCGCCAGAATGTTTGACGTGGGCGTGGTTACTTCTACTAAAACGACCATCCCTCTTGTACACATGTATGGGCTCAGTCTGGGGTCGTGTGAAAAATGACGTGGTGACTAGGGGTAGGAATCACAGGATAGGCTACGAAAGTTATCTTTGTAGATATCATTCTTTGTGTGAACAGGCCTTTATTGTTTACATTAGGTAGTACACATGCACAAATCAGGATGACTGATAAAAATGAAAGATTGAGAAGGGTATATAGATATGTTCAGAATAGCATACTACCATAACATGCAAATTATCCCAGAATGCAACACACTGTACCTTCCATGAGAAATTTAATTCTCATGTTTTGATCCAACTGCAGACGTAAATACATTTTTACACAAAATTAAATAAAAAATGCAAAAACAGCTTTTTATTTCTTTGATGATTGCGGAACGTAAATTGCTGAATTAAACAAACAACGTTTATGGTTGTTCTGTTTGACAAACTATTTTAAAAAGTATGGCTCCGTCCGAAATCACATAGCTACTTTGAACTACATAGACTTTGAACTTAAACATGACTGGGGCATCTATTATTGTAGGCTACTCGCACTGATTTCCACCATCCCGATAAAAGCCTCTTTTTCTTAGGCTAGTTAACTTATGTCCACGTTTCACGTTTACATGTTGAGCGCCACCTCGAGGACCCATGAAGTAGCGACGCTGGGAGCAGGGAAATCTATTTAGAGCGCCTTATTTTATTTAAAAAAATATCGCTATTTGACGCCAGCGTATCGATTATCGTATCGCACAGAGCATCAAGGCGTTCCTCCTAAACTTACAGCTCCTCTGGGTAGACCCATGCAGGAAGTCTAAGTTATTTGCCTTCAAGAGCACCTGAGGGGCCTGACAGAGCCCACCAGTCCTACTCTCCATCGTCGTCCTCCTCAGTTTCTACGGAGAAAGGGACCGCTATAGTGACCGAGATCACTGTGCTGCTTCACAAACTATTTGTGAACTTAACTATATTTTCTTTAACATTCTCCAGCATGTTTTAATGTGTGCTATGTCATGTTTCAAACGCCAACATTTTTTTAAGTTCTTAATGTCTAATGAGCTTAACTTTTGTATTTTAAATTAAATTGTTTTAGTAGACTGTTCAGATTATAGTCTTTCAGTGCTGAGCAGCGTATAGTATGCCACAAACACTCTGATCAACCTAAACATAACAGTTGCAATGGGGAGAAAAAATATCAGTGAATCTATAATCAAATAATGTTATGATCCTGCATTCCTTTGATTCTGAACTAAATTTCTCCATTTCAGACCCCCGTGAAGATTGCTGTTGATGTGAGGGAAGAACGTTTGTTATAATCTAAACCTGAAACATACTAAACTTTATTATTCTGGATACTCTAGTGTGCAATTCTGTCTGTGGCCATGTTTCTGAATTAATAAAAAAGGAAGAAACAAAAAGACTTTTTTGATCTAAAGACATTTTGTTATCTAAAATAAGCAATCATTTGGTTTAGCTACTAATAACATGCCCTTATATGTAAATTCATTTTATTCTGCGTAGTAAAGAATCAATGACTTTCACCTGTGACATATTGATTGAGTAAATTGGCAGGTCTAGAGAAAAATGATGCTTGTCACGAGAGAGGTGGAGCCTTTCTGATTTACATCTGCATAAATTGGGATGGTAGCACCCTAATGTGTCATTGAAACAAGCTTGGCAATAATGGGGTTTTGGCAGGTTGGATTCGGATTGGTGTTTATTCTTGCACTTGGATTGTCTGAAGCACAATGGAGGGCAAGAGCAGCACATAATCGGAGTCCAAGCGAGTTTAGGCCTAGAACATTAGCTCAAGCTTCTCAACAGGCTGATTCCAGGATGTCTTTGGTTCCCAGTAACACTGCATTTGCACCACAAAGTTTTCCCGCTCAGTTTCCTGTCCAGACACCAGTCAGGACTGACTTTGGAAAGTCTTCTCAAGATCTTATGGGTGTTCAATTAAAAGAGCTGTTGCAGGGTCCAGTGGCGACACTGACGTGGAGTTTTCCAAGTCTACCAGAGGAACCGCAGCAGCCAGACGTTCCTTTTGAGTTGCCTTATCCTGTCCCTGCCAACAGTGTAGCTGCTCAGTGTGGAGAGAATTCAGTATATGTGGAAGTGATGAAGGACTTCTTTGGGACTGGGCACCCACTGTTGTCCTCTGGTTTTACACTGGGAGGCTGTACTGCAACTGGAGAGGATTCTTCTGCTCAAGTGCTGATCTTTGAGTCTGAACTGCATGGATGTAGCGGTACATCAATGGTAAGGTTCTGTTGTGACAATCATAGGTATTCTGAATTGTCCATGTGACTGTTCTTCTATTAACCTTTCTGTTTAGGTGACTGAGGATGAGCTTGTCTATAGGTTCAACATTATGTACACCCCACAAGAGGCTTCATATGGTGTTCCTATTGTCAGGAGCAGTGGTGCGGTGGTTGGTATCGAGTGTCATTATCCAAGGTGAGGATTCAATTAATTCAGGCTCACCCAATGTTCTAATCCTGCCGTTTATGGGCAAGAGATGACCGCTTGTTTAACTCCTACAGAACACATAATGTGAGCAGCGATGCCTTAATGCCCACTTGGATCCCATATGCCTCAACTGAGGTTGCAGAGGACGTCTTTGTCTTCTCCCTCAAGCTCATGACTGGTTGGTGTAGCCCATACAGATTTGTAGAATGCTTGTGAATCATCTGTTAAGATAATTATTTTACTTTTTTTTTTTTTCAGATGACTGGAGATTTGAGAGACCTTCTAACCAGTACTTCCTGGGTGACATGATAAATCTTGAAGCGTCAGTGCGTTTGTACAGCCATGTTCCCATCCGTGTGTTTGTGGACAGCTGCGTGGCTACTGCAGTCCCTGATGTTGCTTCTGTCCCCAGATACTCCTTTATTGAGAATAATGGGTAAGAGGTGCTACCTCATGTATCCCAGCTTCCATAAGGGTTGTGTGATTTCTAACTGGGTTCTGTTCACAGGTGCCTGGTTGATGCCAAGCTCACAGGCTCCACGTCTCACTTTATGCCCCGGACTCAAGGTGATAAGCTAGGGTTTCAGCTAGAGGCGTTCAGGTTCCAGCAAGCAGACAGTGGGCTGGTATGCATGTCCTGTAGTTGTGCAACTCTTTGTATGATATGCTGCCATGGTGTACAAACCATTGTCTCTGCAGGTCTACATCACATGCATTTTGAAGGTGGCTGCAGCAACCTCTCCAAGTTCTGAGCAGAAAGCTTGTTCATTCTCTGCTAATGGGTATGTTGCCCGCTAAATAAGTGTACAGGTGAATTGGTTGCGTTAACTTATTTGAGGGTTTGTTTTGTCAGGTGGGTGTCTGCAGATGATTCTGACCAGGTGTGTGGCTGCTGTGACACAACGTGTAGCATCAGAAGTGGAAGTGATCAACTGCTTACAGGTTTGGACTAACTCTGATAAGTTGTTATTGTCATACATGGCTTTAGTTCTCACTAATCATTTGTTCCTCAGATCTACGCTGGGAAAGAGCATCTGTCGGCCCCATCAATGTTAAAGAATATGGCTATGGCCAAAAATAACTGGAAATGTCATGTGATTTTTAATAAATGTTGTTAAAATATTTGGGTTTTTTGTTGTCTTTACTTGCAGTTTACATGGTTTCTGTTCAGACATGTACCACAAAAAGCCTTATTTCTACTGGCCTAGATGGGGGACATCTTATTTCTACTGGCCTAGGGGGGGACATTTTTGCTCAAGTCATTTGTTGGGCTAGGCCTATTACAACACAAAGGCGGAAGTACCTGGATTTTGGCGTGTTCGCACCGCAGGAACTAGGAACGATTTTAGTTCTAGGAACTAATTTAGCTCCTCCTTCAGAGTAGGGTCTAAACCAGCAATATAGGAACTATCTGTGACGTAAGTGTACGCTGATTGGCCGAACGCACTATTATGCATTATTATAAAGGCTGTGTAAACACACAGATTATAGCCATTTATTTCAGAAACTCTACAAACATAGAAAACAGTGATAGATGGGCCTCTTAACCTTCACGCTGAGGGGAAAATCCAACGCAACTGAGGGGACCAAGCAAAACATGATTATGTATTTCTGCTCAGCTAGCAACACTGGACATGTGTACACTTTTTATTTATTTTTTTATTTACGTATAACAGTTCTTTCTAATAATGTATGAGACAGGGCTGTTAGACAAACCGTAAACTAATGAACATGGAGCATGCGAGCACTGTGTGCTTAGGCTCTGGCGTTGTCAAAATAAGTCACATAAGCGTGGCTTACGTCACTTCAGAGTTCCTACTGGCGGTGCAAATGCAACCAGGAAAACGTTCCTATGGGAACCATTCGTCCGTGTAGAACTACGCGGTGCGAAATCTCCCAGATTTGATGAAACTTCAGCTGTGTGTTAGCTGTAGGAAGCTGATGACATGGATGTGACTATTGTGAGTCAGTTATAGAGCCACCAAATGGCAGATGGAAGCATGTCACTTTCGTAAAGCAGACGTAAACCTGTGAAAGGATTCTTGAATACTGTTGTTATGGCAACGCATCAAACTTTTTATATTTCTTTTGGGTATTTCTGAGACTCTTAGCATGCTTCAAATTGCATGAAACTCGACACGCACACATCAGAGTTGTAAGCCAGTAGACATGGGCAAAGCCTTAAAAATGGGCGTGTAGGAGCGGCTAAGTAGCGTCACAAACTTCCCTGCCACAAAGTGGGTGGTTAGTTTTACCTACAGTCAACAAACTTGGTACATTACTGTATATTATTCTCATCGAGCCGGGCGACTTTCTAATTTACAGTCACCAACAGGAAGTTAGATATTTTTGTTTGAATGTGGATTTTTGGAATCAAGCTCTGAATTTTTAACTACTGCTCCAAGGAGCCTCATACGATTCACACCAAACTTTCTCAACATGATGCCAATATATTGAAGAGGCTACATTTCAAATGGGTCTCTTGAACGGAGTTGATGAAATAAAATAATGACAAAAAGGGAAACAGGAAGAGTCTCATATCTTCTAAATAACAAATTATACACCATTTATTTCTATATAAAATAATCCAAATAAGAAGTAAAAATCACATTTTATTATTTTTCATAAAATGCATTTGTGCTATCTGGTTGAAATAAATAAAATAAAATGTAATACATAGTATAACCACTAGTGTGCAGCATAGGCCTATATTTAAACAGGGTTGAAAAAGCCTTGTTGCTGAGAATTTTTCAGACATAATTATCAAAAATGTTGAATTTTCTGGCTCAACTAACTGGTAAACAGTCTCTAACTCTTGAGAATCTTCCCCAAAGAGATGCTGAACAGGAGTCCTCAGAGCATTTTGACTGAGCTTTATCCCTGAGACTCCAAACATTATTCTTACTTCCTTCCTTGTTCATTCACTTTGTCTTTCAATCAGCTGTGACTCTGTCTGATTTGAATCAAATCATCAAACCTTGACCTGGTGTAAATACATTTTGGTACTTATAGATTGTTACTCAGTCTCTCTGCTCAAATCTATCAAATAGATTTTACTCTATCTCTCTGCTCAAATCTAGTACACCAAGTCTACACTGATGGATTACAAAGTTGTTTTCATTGCTGTTCTTGGTATTTATTTCTTTTATTAAAGCAAACATGTTATGAATATCGTTGCTGCCCTGCAGTGTGGACGTTTTTTTTGTGAGTTGCTCAGTGTGTTAAATTGTGTATATTGTCTTTTTTTTTTTTTTTTGCCTAACCATGTAACTTGCTAAGTTGGTAAAAGGTACAGGATTGTTTTTAAACGCAATTTAGCATTAAATTCCCCCCGATTTAGCATAAACTGAGCTTTGTTCTTTCTTCTGTATGTTCCCAATCCTAAAACTTACCTACCCCGTATATCAGTAATTGTCTCTCTGCACAGTTTGTATTACATTATGACAATTAAACAAAACTATTTATAAAGGTCACATTTTGTGTAAAGTGTATGAGAATACGCAGACAATACACAGTTACACACTTTAAAATGTTTAAACAGCACAGGGAATCAGAGCCTTCATAAAACCATCATCAATTATCTTTTAACAGCCAGTTAGTTTCCCAGGTGAACAATGTTTCATCTAATTAGTTATTTGCCCTAATTGGACTGATGAAGGCCTATAAAATACACTTATCTCCAATTAGATATGTTTGCAATTGTAGTGTCTGTGTGGTGGTTTGAGAAAGTGAATGTTGGGGCATTGGAGTACTCAGGGTTTTTTGTTTGCCATGGATAAAGGGTGGACACAGTGAGTTTATTCAATCAATCTCGGTTTGTGAATGATTCAGCAAATAATTAATTTTCTTTATGTATTTTATATATTTACTTTTAGGTTACCCTTGTTTGTAATCTTCCTGCTCTTTTTGAGTAATACTCATGGATTTAAAGGTAAGATTAATGTTTTTGGTGTTTTTTTTAATATTTTCTCTTGTAAAGGATTTTAAATTGTGAGGTTTCTTTTTCTACAAGTCTTCTATTTTGTGTAATTCACAGGTGGGGCTCATTCAGATGCCCGCCACCGGTGGGGCCAAGCTTCAGACAGAACGTTCTCACCTCGTGCAGTCCAGTCTTCTGTGTCAGAGGTCCCTGTGACTGGGATTTTGCCTGAAGAAGTGGGCTCTAGTTTATTCACTAACAGACCCCTGAAAAGGTTGAACTTACTCCAATTTGTTAAAGTCCCTGTAAAGTCAAAATTAAGTATGTGTTTTGAGTTTGTCACACCACAGAAAAATGTGTTATTAGTCACCCAGTCAAATTTGAATGATAAAAAAAAGCCAGCAAGTACATAAAATAAGCTATCAAAATCTTGAAAAAATGAGCAGTAATCTCTGCTCTCAAACGCTGGGGGCGTGTCCACTGGCTGCGCTGAAACCACGCCCACTCGCGGGAAAGCTGCCGTCGTCGACTCGCCTCACTCAACTCTACAGCCGGAATGGATGCTCGCACGGTGGGCACGCACTGCCGAATGGCACCAGTTGTCGGCGCGACGGGAGGATGAAGGCTGAGGCGGGAGTCGGTTCGGCCCTATTCACCAGTAACAGCGGATTATCAGTGAATCCCAGACAGTTATCTCCGACGAAAGTTTATAAAACTATCCAGTGTAAAATGATCACTTACAGAGGCGGGTTTTGGCGGTGATCCTCAGCTCTCCATCAAGGTGGCTCTTCACAAAATTAATCCACTTCTTCTTGATGTAATCGTTTTTCGGAAATTTAAACAAGGACACCGATCTGTTTTGTACGTGATCCGGTGATCGCATCCAGGTAGTACGCATTTCCGTGACGAAGGCATAGCTAGTAGCTAGCAATCTGTAGGCTGTGTTACTAATAATAGTACTACTACTGACAGTACTATTTTTAAACTCTATGTAAATGTATTTATTTGTGAATGTGTATGACAGTGTTTTTATGTGTATGCCTGTTTTGCTTCAACCAAATTGCCTTCGGGAAATGAATAAAGATGAACTGAACTGAACTGAACTGAACTGACAGTAACTCGCGATTGAGCGGCAAACTGATGTGAATGTGCTCTATAATATTGTTAGGAGCGGCCAGCCTCAGTGGCCTCAGAGCGTCATCAAGTAGGGGCGTGTCCAGGAGCTCAAGGGCTCCAGTGCGTCATCGAGCCCTGTTTTAGCCCCGCCCAGAAAATCCGTAAAATATCAATGGTGAAAAACTGTTTAACGGTCTAACTCCACAATTCAGTACTTCACAGTTCACAGTCTTTGTAATATGTTTTAGCTATACATTTCTAACATTTATAATGTGTTTAGAATTTTTTTTTGAAATTGCCTTTACAGGGACTTTAAAGGTGGTGTTTCCAGCAGGCATGAATCAATGTCCCATGCCCAGACAGCTCCAAGCAGCTCTGTTTTAGCTTCCTTGCCTCTACCCTTAAATGAACGGCATGCAGGCCGTTTGACATCGCTCCAGGGTTCCTCTGGATCAGCCGCTACAGATACTACTAGTGTTTCTACACAAGGAGAAAGTAGCTTCCCTGCCACACTTGGCACTTCTGGCCTGTCCACCAGTGATGAAAGCTCCCCTAGTTTGTACATGTCCAGCTCCCTGGAAACCTCTGGTGCTAAATCAGCAGAAGCCACTTTGCCTGTGTTCTCTCAGGAGAGTATCTCTTACAGCAGTTCATCTGCTCCAGGTGCCACGTACACTTCTCAAGGTAGCCCAGTGCTGGCTTCAGAAGGCTCTGGTCAATCCATCTCCCCTCAGGGTGAAAGCAGTTACGGTGGCTTGCCTCAGTCTCAAGGTGCCTCGAGTCAATATAACCCAGGCTCCTATAACATGCTCAGTTCTTCATCTGTTTCTAGTCAGTCTACCAGTGACCAGAGTACCCCCGGTTTGTATAGTTCTAGCTTTCAGGGAAGTTCGGGCAGTTTGTTGGAAGCTTCTGGCTCTTCTTTTCAAGGGGAAGTGGCAGGGCTTAGCTCTCATGTTGACTTGTCTCCCCAATCACAAGACAACTCCAGTCAGCTTCTACCCTCACAAATGGAGGTCTCTAGCCAGTCTACTAATGGTCAAAGCACTCCCAGCTTGTTTATGCTTGGCTCTGAGAGCAGTTCAGATTCACAGTCAACAGGTCCTGCTTCACCTCTAGACACTCAGGGTAGTCTCTCTCAAAGCATTTCTAGCCAGTCCACAAGCGTTCAAAGTTCACCTAGTGTGTCTACAAGCACCCAGAGCAGGTCTGCCACTCAATTAACTTCCAGTAATTTTTTTCCTGTGCAGGGAGGTAGTAGTTCTACTTCTAGCTTCTATCTGAAGCCTCAGGGCACTCTGGGTCTGTATGCCCCTACGTCCCATACCAAATATGTGAGTTCCCCCATGTCATCACACCCAGCTGTTTATAGCCAGTCAAAAAGTAGCTCTGGTCCTTGGTTTGGGGGCTCTACTGGCTTTGCCTCCCAGGGAATAAGTAGCACTTACAGTGGTTCTGTCCAGCCTCAAGGTACCCCAAGTCAGTTTGCCTCTGGGTCTCCATCCTACTATCCAAGTGTATCACTATCCTCGCCACAAGGGGCCTCCAGTCAGTCTGCTACAGTCCAAAGTTCACGGAAGCAGATTGCCTCTAGCTATGGCACCCAGTCAGGGTCCTCTAAGCCATTCACTCTGCAGGGAAGCTCCACTTATGGTGGGTCACTCCAGCCTCAAGGTACCTCAAATCAGTTTGCCTCTGGGTCTCCATCCTCCTATCCAAGTGTATCACTATTCTCACCCCAAGGTGCCTCCAGTCAGTCTGCTACAGTCCAGAGTTCACGGAAGCAGATTGCCTCTAGCTATGGCACCCAGTCAGGGTCCTCTAAGCCATTCACTCTGCAGGGAAGCTCCACTTATGGTGGGTCACTCCAGCCTCAGGGTACCACAAGTCAGTTTGCCTCTGGGTCTCCATCCTACTATCCAAGTGTATCACTATTCTCACCCCAAGGTGCCTCCAGTCAGTCTGCTGCAGTCCAGAGTTCACAGAAGCAGTTTACCTCTACCTTCACAGGCAACTCTGGCACCCAGGAAGGACCCTCTGTTCCCTTCAAATGGCAGGGAAGCACCACCTATGGTGGATCACTCCAGCCTCAAGATACCACAAGTCAGTTTGCCTCTGGGTCTCCATCCTCCTATCCAAGTGTATCACTATTCTCACCCCAAGGTGCCTCAAGTCAGTCTGCTACAGTCCAGAGTTCACGGAAGCAGATTGCCTCTAGCTATGGCACCCAGTCAGGGTCCTCTAAGCCATTCACTCTGCAGGGAAGCTCCACTTATGGTGGGTCACTCCAGCCTCAGGGTACCACAAGTCAGTTTGCCTCTGGGTCTCCATCCTACTATCCAAGTGTATCACTATTCTCACCCCAAGGTGCCTCCAGTCAGTCTGCTGCAGTCCAGAGTTCACAGAAGCAGTTTACCTCTACCTTCACAGGCAACTCTGGCACCCAGGAAGGACCCTCTGTTCCCTTCAAATGGCAGGGAAGCACCACCTATGGTGGATCACTCCAGCCTCAAGATACCACAAGTCAGTTTGCCTCTGGGTCTCCATCCTCCTATCCAAGTGTATCACTATTCTCACCCCAAGGTGCCTCCAGTCAGTCTGCTACAGTCCAGAGTTCACGGAAGCAGTTCACCTCTAGCTATGGCACCCAGTCAGGGTCCTCTAAGCCATTCACCCTGCAGGGAAGCACCACCTATGGTGGATCACTCCAGCCTCAAGATACCTCAAATCAGTTTGCCTCTGGGTCTCCATCCTCCTATCCAAGTGTATCACTATTCTCACCCCAAGGTGCCTCCAGTCAGTCTGCTACAGTCCAGAGTTCACGGAAGCAGTTCACCTCTAGCTATGGCACCCAGTCAGGGTCCTCTAAGCCATTCACCCTGCAGGGAAGCACCACCTATGGTGGATCACTCCAGCCTCAAGATACCTCAAATCAGTTTGCCTCTGGGTCTCCATCCTCCTATCCAAGTGTATCACTATTCTCACCCCAAGGTGCCTCCAGTCAGTCTGCTACAGTCCAGAGTTCACGGAAGCAGTTCACCTCTAGCTATGGCACCCAGTCAGGGTCCTCTAAGCCATTCACCCTTCAGGGAAGCACCACCTATGGTGGATCACTCCAGCCTCAAGATACCACAAGTCAGTTTGCCTCTGGGTCTCCATCCTCCTATAATGGTCATTGTGTATCGTTGTCCTCGCCCCAAGGTGTTGCCGACCAGTCCAGCCAAGCATTTCAAAGCTTTTCTGGGTCCCAAAGCCAAAAGTCTCAAAGATGGCAGCCTTCACGAGGTATTCAGACCTCAGGTGCAGCTGCATCACAGGGCAGCTCTCTGTCTCAAAGCTCTCCAATGCAGAGTTTGTTTCCTTCCCTGTCATCAGCAGGAGGCTCATCTTCAGGAGATCCTGGACCGTTTGTTTCTGCACAGGGTGGTAGCAGCAGATATGGTGGCTTTTCTCTTCATTCTCAAAGCCCCTCTAGCAAGTACACCCCTGGGTCTCATGCATATGCCAAGCTTGCTTCCTCTCCCCTAGCTGTTTCTAGCCAGTCTACCAGTGATAAGCGGTCTAATGGCCTGTATAGCTCAGACTCTCTGCGAACCCTGGGTCTCATTGGTGTAGTTGAAAGACCCTCTAGACTCCCATCTCAAGCTCCTTCTGACTCTACAAGCAGTAACCAGATATCTGAGCATTTTGTGGCCATGCAACGCCCCACAGGTTCAAACCTAACTCCATCTCTAGGCTTGAGTGCCCAAGCATCATCTGTTGGCATGTTCTCTGGTATCCCACAGACTGCGCAGGCTCTACGTGAATCTGGGTCAGATGTCCAGCTATACAATCGACCATTCCTCAATCAGCTATACTCCGTAAAGGGCTAAGGGACTCTATAAAACAGCTACATTATGCAAAGTGATGTCTTCCAGAATATAAAATCTAATAAATGTTTGTAACAAAGGTTTTTTTCTTGTGCTGTTTTGTGTTTAAGCTACATTCAAAGGATAGAACCTCAAATTTGAATGTTTTTGCACTTATGCCAGATCTATTAATATTCATTGGTTTGTCCATTGATTCAAATAAAGAATTTAATACATGGTTGATCAAATTTTAAGTTTATTGGGCAAGTGAAAAACC